CCCCCAAGGTCTGGAACAGCCTGCCATCGGAGGTGGTTCAAGCACCTACATTGAACACCTTCCAGAGTAAATTGGATGCTTATCTTGCTGGGATCCTATGACGCCAGCTGACTTCCTGCCCTTCGGGTGGGGGGCTGGACTCGATGATCTTCTGAGGTCCCTTCCAGCCCTAATGTCTATGAAATCTGTGAAACATGGTGCAAATATCTACATTTGATTCACACCCCAGAGATTTCAAATAGGAATCCATAGTGTCAAAAGCATTCTGACTCATTATGGTCTTTCTGAGTTCTTTGCAAGAGAAGAATTGCTCCATTATTTTTTCCATACTCAAAAAACGAAAGCTAAGAGCTGGCATTTTTCAAGGGATGTCTTGAGTACAAAACTGTTGAGAACCACTGGTGTCAAGTGTAAAGAAACAACAATTACAAAACATACTGGTACTTATGGTGAGCTCAAGTATCACCAGTGGACATCAAGACATGCCTGCTTAAATAAACCTTTCACCAAATAGCTATCTAGTAATGATGCTCAATGCAGAAGGAATCAAACACCAATCACTTTCAGAGTCACAAACCAGCTTTAAAGGAAAAAGGTTATTTTGACATTTCTCTAAAGGTTGAGGGATGCTCTATTTTGACATTGTTGACTACCACCAAAATGTTTAAAAATTTTATAATCCTGAAAACACATTTTCCTGTTTTTCTCCCACTAACTCAGTTTCCTCGAGAAGGCTGTACCTGCAACAAAAGACTTAATGCGTATATTCTATGAATCTATGATTTTAGGTACTATATACGCACCAAGTCTTTTGTTGCAGGTACTGCCTTGTTTAAAAACCTGCTGACTGTTGAAGTACATCTAAAACCATAAGGCATATTGATGAACAGAAACAGGGGCATCCTTTGGAGGTGGGATTGGAGGTTTCATTCTAGAGCAGACCAACTAATGGTTGACTTTTTGATGTGGAACGATTGTGATCTCAGGAGAGTTCTGGCAATTGCTATTAGGTATAGCCTTACATGACCAGCTACTTATTTTAATATTGCCCCGGCACTTCTCTAACAGACCTATTTTTATAGTAATGTAAAGGCTGAAGTTTAAATTTAGTACGCAGTCAAACAGAATCCAAGAAATACTTCAGTTTAAGTGGACAGTAATTATAGCAAGCTACAATGGAATTTCTATGAGACTACATTTTACAGTCCCACAACAGTCAGAAGAATCCATCATGATTAACATTATTACATTGTGTTGAGCACTCAGTGTAACAATTTTGTAAGTGGTTCCATAAATCTTCCTTAACCGTTATAAACTAAGGGCATACATGTGCTTCAGGGTGGGGGATGCTTTAATTAGAGCAGCCCCTGAGAACCACTTTAATTAAAGCGCCTGCAGCATCTCATGTATTCAGTGTTCCACACTTCAAAATAGCAGTTAAAGTTTAGTTAAAGCACCCCTGCTGCCATTTTGAAGTGCAGAATGCTGAATACATGTGACACTGAGGCTGCTGGAGTGTGCTAATTAGACAGAAGAAATTTATACCGTCTCAAAAGCATGGAATGGAGGTTGCCTATGTGGTGAATGTTATGAAAAAGGCAGACTGAGGATAATACAGGTACTTTCCACTCATTTCAGCACTATAAAGAGTATATGCCAAGGAAATCATTTTAACAATTCCTTTGCAATCCTTCTATTCATTATCACGCTATACTATCTTCAGCAATCAACTGTCCACCAGTGAAATGCTCGCCCATCTTTACTGTGGGAAGTGGCAGCTATTCTACATCAGAATCTTCATATAACACTTTAGTTTACTGTCAAATTGGGCACTTTTTAAATTAAATGTCATTACTGCTGCTAAGGAACTATAGGCAATTTCCTTTCTATTTTAATCCCACTATGTAGCGTGTAGATCACACACTTCTAAATAAAAGAAAGGCACTCAACCAAGTGCCCCTAAGATTCCTGTTTTGTATGCTCTTAACAGTGATCTCTTAACCTGCTCATATTTTACAAGTATTTTTCTATTAACCCAATCTACATACTATTAATTTTTTTGTATACCTGATAGGTATGGGTATTTCATTCCTTCTGGGGAGATTATTTGAAACATGCCAGAAGAAGACAAACATATTTTACTTTTAAAAAGCTTGTGAAGATGAGTGGGTAGAGAGTTGGCTGCCCTGTGAAAATGGAAATGTTACATTTCCATCAGGCATTCTAACACAGACTCAATTCTATTAAGGGGAAGGAAGTTCATTCCAAAATTTTACAGGCTAAATAACGTGGGGCGGGAAGGGTCATCCTCAGTTAAACAGCAGAGCTAACTCAGTTTTGCTGGCTTTTTTAAGTATGGGTGGGGTGACAAAAGATATTTAAACAACTCGGCATCCTTTGCCTCATTATGTTACGCACAGATGCAACAAATGAACTGCTGAAGAGTTATAGTGCGTCCTTTTAAGGGACATTCCCTAATGGTACTAAAGCACTGCTACCGGAGCCAGTCATAGCACACACACCATTACAGTGCAAAGTGGATTCCTTGAGATCTAGAACTTGTGTAGCTCCATATGTTTGCTAGAATTTACATCAGACTAGGACAACAGTATTCAAACTAACACCCAAGGATCACCAAAGACCTTCCTGGTGAATTCAGACTGAAACCTTTTTTGAGACAAGCTATAGGAGATGCTTGAGCTGGGAGGCTCAAAAGACCAATTAAATGGTCAACTGAATTACATAATGCATTATAGGTGACAGCTAGCACAAGAAGCAACACCCTTCACAAAGCCTATATAAAAACAAACACCTGAGTCAGCCTTTCTTTCCAGATGAGGCCAATTTCAGAAACATAGAGAGAGCTTTGAAATGAAAATAAAAATAGTTTTGTTACCTTTTCTGCAAGCCAGCCTAGGTGCCTAATTTCTCGACTTCCAGCGATCCCTGTTTTACCCAGCTGGTCTCTGACTTCTGCAACCACCCTGGGGATGAGATCATTGATACTGGAGTGGATAGCATTGAACCAGGCCTGGGCTGTGGCTGAATCCTTACTCCTTAGTACCACAGTGTGCTTCCCATCAGGTGAATGGACTTCAATAAGTCTAGAAAAATCAGGGAAAAAATATTATGTTGACTCCCAGAAACTTGGGTAACTCTAAGTGGATAACTTGCCCACTTTTAGTTAAGCAATAAGTTAAAAAATACTATCAAGATCAAAACTTCACTTACCTTTACAACTGGTTGAATTAATACTATTTCAAATCTGGTTCAGTTTTTATTGCTGTTACTTTGAATTACTGGTTAATGGTGACTTGCAAATTTAGGCCCTTCTGAAGTTACAAGTGTGGACTAACTAGGGTAAATGAGTATTCATTTACTACTTAAAATTTACACTGTTGCTTTTCAAGTACCAGGAATTTCCAATGGCTGTGGGTCATCTTTCCTAAAAAGCCTCAACAAGCACTACAGTTGTGACATAACATCCATCATGAAACCAGAATGAAGACTTGAGTGTTTACCCCTATTTTAAGGGTATTCTATAGGTGCCTAACATGTATCAATGACGAACTCACAAAACAGTGAAACAACAATAAAGAAACCCCTATCCCCCAAGTGCAGGGGGGCTGGACCCAATGATCTGTAAGGCCCCTTCCAGCCCCTAACAACTATGAAATCGCAACTTCCTTATCCTTCCACTGTAGGTTGGATTATATCATTAAGTATCCAGATTTTACACACGTCCATATTTTAAGGGATGAAGAAATACTGAAATGTCCTGAACGTTCCCTTTATCCCCAGTTCCTGACAGCAGGAATGTGCCAGCTAACCACTATATCTAACTGTGGTCAGGGACCATCAAACTTTCCATTATGGTTGACCTGACTGATGTGATGATGAATGCTTTTTTTGAAATCCAAACTTACCAAGCCATCCTGTGGGCTACCACCTCACATTGTGGTTTCAAGGCACAGTATAACACAGTTTTCAGGGTAAAAAAAATCTGTTCATACTGGTCCTATGAATAGTGCCAAAGCTCCTGCTAGCGCTAACTGTTTTTTAAAAAATGCCAGTAGCTAACCCAGTCCTGATTAGGATGTATAGGTCCTTACATGCTGTTTACCATGTTTCTCTCTATGAGCACACATGTATAAATCACTTTAAATCTTTCCTAGCAGACTCTAAAAGAGTTAGAGTGTGGTTCAGCTCTAAAAAGTGCTACAGAAGAAGCTTTTCTCTCTCAGTGACCTCACATGACATTTGTTCTTTATTATAATGTAAGTACAAAGATAGCTCCTCACAAATTCTTCCCTGTAGGTCAAGCCTGGGAGTAGAGTCAAGTTGTATGCATCCTGGCTGAAATGTGATTTTAAAGACAACACTCTAAAGCTATGGACTTAAAAAACTGATTTTGACCATTTTACTCACAAAAATGCTGAGCTCCCAACAGCTCATGTTGAGAAACTAGGAACTATTGGGTTCTCAGCAACCTGCAAACTCAAGATGCTGATTTGGATCATTTAAATACTGATTTAGGGGCGTACATTTGGCTTCCTAGTTTTGAAACTCTTGGCCTCTCTGCTTTAGAACAGATTTTAGTAACATAACTCCCCTTGGCTCTGTAGGGACAGATTTTAATAATAATAATAATAATAATAATAATGGTGATTATTAAAATAACACCATCTACCGCCCCTAAAGCCCTGTTCATCAGCAAACCTCAAGGCATTTTACAAGAAGAGTTCAGTATCATTATTCTTATTTCAAACAGGGAAAACTGATGCACAGAAAGGTGATGCAACACACCCATGGTTATCCAGGAGCCAGCAGCAGAACTGGGAGTCAAAGCCAGTTCTACCCACCTCCCATTTTAAAAAGTCTTTAAGAAGGGGAGGAGGGGGAAGGGAATTTTTTTCCAGGCACAAGGACAGTATTGTGTCATTTGACAAGAAAAATTAATGTTCAGTTTGATTTTTGAAACAATGGCCTTTGCAAAGCTTGTTTGTGATGTGATTTATATAAAAAACCCCCACCAAACTTACTGTGTACTGTGCAGCAAAATAAGGCAAAGCCCAAGCACTGCACTGGGAAAGAGCTTCTTTGCAGTTGCAATAGAAGTTACAAAGTCTGTGTTGTTTCTTTTCAAGCTAGTTTTGCAGCAATGTTTGCTTTAAAAGTAAATACACCAGGGCTGAAAGAGCTTCCAAATGGCAGCTTGTATTCATGCAGTTTTGAATTAGCATCCTGCTCAATATTAACCACTTGAACAAATAGGTATTTTAAATACGCAAACATGTAATTGGCTACATTTATTCCCATCAGAACGTTTCTGGTGGCTGCAGCTATTTAAAGTGCATGTCTAATAGTTACGTTCCTTTCCCTCCCATCAGCTTTATTAAGATGAAAATCCAATAGCATCTTAAATGGAATCCTCCAGTTTCTGTCAAAAGAAATCAACTCAGTTCTTAATATCCTGTTGTCATAAACATTTAGAGGGTTTTCCCTGAAGGGTATCTTTAACTGAATTCAAATTACTAAGCAATGTTTTGGTCTGGCATAACGTAGTACCTTCTAATAATATATTTTTTAAAACAATCACATGAAAAGTTACTCTCTAAATATTATTGCTCAGTGCTTTTCGATGGGTTTACTTTTAGGAAGGGAGATTACGTGCCATTTTCTGTAAATTGCTCATCAGTCACCAAAGTCTGATGGTGAAGCACTAAGGGCGCTGACAGAAGTGACATATGTCGCATGATCAGCCCCTTGAAAGCACTCTACAGCTTTGCCCTGACAGAAGTGCACTACTGCAGAGCACTTCAAAAGTGCACGATCGCACAACCAATTAACCCTCATGTAATGAGGTTCAGATGAAGGTGCTCCAAAGCAGAGCATCTTCATTAAGTTCAGTCTGTCCTTGCACACGATTGGGGCTGTCTGCAGAAAAGGAAGGGGAGAAGGGAGGGGGAGGGAGCTTGGGGCTGGGGTTTGCTCAGCCTGAGCTGGAGCCGAAGGGAGTGGGGAACGCGTGGATTGGAGCCTCCAACTAGACTGCTCCATAATTAAGAATTCAGGCCCAGATCCTCAAATGTATTTATGCATCTCACTCCCACTTAAGAGTGGCCCAAATTCCATTGCTGATTTCAATGCGAGTTGGGCATCTAAATGACATGGAGGATCTGGGTCTCCCTACTTCTGTGCTAAGGGTCTAATTATTCAACCTTGCAGTCAGGTTTCCAAACAATGGTCATTATAGAAACTTCTCTCATGGAGCCTACTGTAGGCTTCTTCTATGCTCAGAGATTAAGCACCTTATAAGAAGGGTTTTCTTGTTTTCCATGTAAAAATGGGGAAAAATGCAGATTTTTTCCCTTTAACAGAGAAAAAACATAGATTTCTCATTTTAACAGCAGAACACGCAGATTTTCCATTTTTGCATCTCTGCAAGCTTCCCCACCTGGCCCTATGCTGCCCTGCCATGGTGGGCCCTGTCCACTGAGCCATGGAGGGCAGTGGGGCAGTGAGCCCCAAGCCCACAGCAGACAGTCTGCTATTGCTATGAAACACTGTGTTCAATTGATACCTACATATATATATAGTGGCATTTCACTTGAATCACAGATTTTGGGGGTTTTAATCAGAGAATCTGCATCTTTATCGGAGAATTTGCAATTTTTAAACAGAAAACCAGGATACCACCCGTATAAGCTAGTGCCTACCCAGCTCCATCCCTTTCCACACATGCTTGATACATTTACAACCCCTTTTGGGAAATCCTTCGTGTTGACAGCTACTTGCTGACTGATGGTATTTCCATATTTACTGAAAAGAAAAAAAATACTGATGACCTTAGTAAACTCTAATGCAAAAGTGCTTAAATATTTCCAGGCAGACCAGCATTTGTAGGTCTGATCGACTTCTTGGCTGAACTAGCCACTGCTTGCTGAAAGTGTTTATCTGCAGTTCGGTGATAAAGTTCTCTTAATTCCCCATTGAATAGAAATATTTAGGGTAATGCCACAGCTGTGTTTATCCTCACACTCCACCACACTTATGTAAATACTGCACATGGAACTATTTCTGATAAAGCCCATACCAACCCAAAGGAATTATACATTAGCTCTAGATGACTGCCAAGATGTGCGGCATCTCTCCAGCTTGGCAATGCATATGAATGATATCACATTTTCTCAGAGATCATTTGGCAAACCTTACAATAAAAGGGTAATTTTCTCTCTTTCTCAAAGAGTTCCACTGAGCCAGAGAATATTTCCCGGCATTCCTTTTCCAACTTATAAAACATAAGCTATGAGCTTGACAGAAAACCTGAAGCCTCTGAATGCTCTCACCTTGCAATAAAGGGACCAGAACTCACCACCCACCGACATCCAGCGCTTCTGTTTTGCTGGGGAAGCATACATTTAAGACAAACATCCAACAGCCTCTTATTAATCCCATGATCAGTAAGACCTCTTTAGAAAGGAGAGTTTGCTATCCAAAAGCTGCCTTTTATCAAGTCACTTGAAATGGTTTCTCCTTTCCACGTGACTTAGGACTGAATTTTGCACTGGTTTATACCCTGTGCTTTTTCCGAGGTCAGAATCTGCAATCAGTGACTCCAATCTGTGTGTGAAACACCTGAGCTGAAGCAAATTACAAGTTGGAGTCAAAAGAGATACTTGCAGCTTATGCCAGTGTAGCTGAGGACAGACTCACTTCTTTTTCCCTGTGCAACTTATGAAGCCATGGGAATACTTTGGTGCATTTTTCTCACGTTAAACCAACCAGAGTGTTTCAGCCCTCACCCCAGACTGTATCGGAGAAACTCCCCAGAACCTTAGACCATGAAGGCCCTGCTCTAGCCAAGTTAATGCAAGACAGACTGAGCAGGTGGGAACAGGAAGGGGGTCATACCTTAAAGCCTCTGCCTAGTACCCCTATGGATCTAACACCAGCTCTAATAAAATCTGACATGATCACTAATATTTCAGGTTTGCAGGAAGTGCTGTGTGAGTTTCGTCTCTTAAATACCGGCCCCAGTATCATTTAACTAGGAATAATGGCTGAAATTAAGATATGGAAAAATTAAGTTAAATTTCAACAT